ATTGTTTAAACAGAAAAAGTGATGAATTTCTCTTATAGGAAAGTCTAAATAGTAGAACAAACTGGTGATAAGTTTATAAATGAATAATCTCTTCTTTATCTTATGGAATCAATGAAAATGATAACAATAACCTGCAAGAGATCGGAGGAATATTTAAATTATGTACGAGAGTAAACTTTAACCAGTAAACCATATTTGGGCTTCATTGTAACAACTGCATGAGGTGTAATTTTCTGTCCAGGTGCCAATTCGAGACGAAATTTTTGTAAAATCATGGTCAACATAATTCGAGCTTCTAAGAGAGCAAAATTTTGACCGATACATGAACGATGACCAGCTCCAAATGGTAGGTAGCAATATGGATGAGCTAACTGTTTCCGTTCACCATTACTATCCTTCCATCGAGTATAGTCAAATTTTAATGGATTTTGCCAATAATCAGGATTTCTATGTAACACATAGGTATTCCAATGAACTGATGTTCCTTTATAAACTTTTATTTTTTTATCTCCATGGCCAATTTCATTATCAGCTAAACAGTCTCGCCCTGATAATGGAGCTGGTGGATATAATCTTAACGTTTCATGTAATACACTATCAATAACATGTAATTGCTTTAACGATTCGGCTGTTGGTAATTCACCTTTTAATACTCTGTCAATTTCTTTAATACAGTCATCCATTGCATCCGGATTTGATACTAAACAGTATATACACCAACTCATTAAATTACTGCTTGTCTCGTGACCAGCTACAATAAAAGCTAGAGTTTCTTGTTTGATTAAATCATTACTAAATAAATAACCTTGATCATCTTTAACTGAAAATAGTAAATCTAACAAATCGTTCTTTTCAATGGTTGATGATGTTAAGCCTTGTCGACGATCGTGTATTATTTGATCAGCAATTTGATGTATATTTGATACACATCGATCTAATTCGGGTTTACCAAATAATGGTAATGATTTGATGAACGAGATCCATGAAAATAATTTTAACGTTCTCTCTCGAGCTATCTCAAAATATTGATTTAATGAATTATACATAATCTCTGAGGCATTCGGTATAGATTGCAAACCTGTTCCAAAAACACAATTTGCAACAATATTTAATGTTAATTTAGAAAATTGTTCATGTGCTTGTATTGTAATATATTTAGTATCTAATGTTGTACTCATTTTTTCATTTTTCCACTCATTCAATAATATGTCAGTCTGTTTAATCATAATAGAAATCATTGAATGTAAATTAACATTATGAAATATTGGTAAAATAACTTTTTTGTTTTTACTGTGCATTGGATCATCTGCTATTAACATTGTATCGTAACCTGTTAGTGGGCCTAAGAAGTATTTAGTCATTCGATTACGACAATAACACGAATTATTCGTTTTGAATAGATATTCAAAATAATCAACATCATAAACATGTAGTCGAGGAATAAATAAAAAATATGTGAAATATATTTTTCCATATTTATTCATCATATCAATATATTCTTCCATTTGGCGATCTTGTTTTGCATACAATTTGCTTTGTTTCAAACCATTAACTAATGGTATAAATGGTGTGACGGCAATGCCTTGAACCATATAACACCAACGTAAATAATATGGCTTTATTATTATTAAATAAATTAAATAAGTAAAAATGATTAGTAACACATAAAATAATATTGTTAAGATCATTTTCGATTTTTTAATGTAATAATAAGAGTTGATTTATCTGTGTGTTTAAAAACAGCAAACCACGCGAGAACAGATAAAACAAAGATACTATTATGTACTTCTTTCAAGCATGTTATATGCAAGTAGAAACTGAGTGCTATGTGTGATAAGAAAAGAGAAGAAAAATAAGTGTATCTATGTGTTAGATACAAAGTATAAACTGCATATGGTGAATAACTTTTATTCTGTTAGATACTTCTTGTGTTATGTGTAAGTAAAGATATTATTATATACTGAATACCTGTACGCATTTATAAATCGTTTTTCTTCTTTTTTGATTTATATGTTGTCTTTTAACACTACATACAATAAAGGATTAACTATAATAAATAGTTAATAAATAAAAGCATTTACTTTCCAATAAAAAGTAAATCAAAAAATACTTACAATAACATCGGAAAATAGAGCAAACATTTCGAATCAAAATGAGATATCATCCAGCTCTGAATGATGTTTTGATTAAGAGTTATGAGAATTTTGCTCGAAGGCCTAAAACTTGCATCAGATACGGGTACCACCATACCTCGAAAGCGATTTTCACCTTAACACCATTTCGTAGATCCCAGATTTCTCGATTTTTAATGAAATATTGCATAGAACCCAGAAAGGATTTAAATTGAAGCGGACACATGTAGCTAGAGACTAATGGAGCCCGATTTTTGATATTTGGCCTAGATTTGTGGTTACAAAAATATCTTTATGCAAGCTAATGCGACTTTTTCGAATTTTGGACTTTTTACGCTGGTCATTAATTTGAAAAGTAAAATATCAAAAATCCGGCTTGAAAAGCGCTCCACAACGTTTCTTTACTGAGAAATCTTGCAACTACGAATAGCCCCGTTTTGGGCACTGTTGTGGCGATATCGCACAAACTATGGTAGATGGAACAGCCAAACAGAAAATTTCGTTACCATACTTTCACAGGGTCAATATCTCCTAAAACTCTGGTGAAGATTCGACTTATACTTTCAGACTTAAGTTTCTGACAGGGGGGGGAGCATAAACGACGAAAACTGCATATTATGATTTGAATATCACGAAGATTATAACTTCTTCAAAAATGCATTTTGTACCTCTTTGAAAAATACTTTTCCACACTCTCAGGCTATCTAAAATTTCGAGTTCTTTATAGAAAATGCAGCACACCATGGGTACTATATAGAATCATAATTAAAAACTTGAGATTGCATAATTTTGCAGAGAAAAACCACTTCGGAGTGGCTACCTCGAGCTTGTTCTAAATTTCTCTGTATGATGAATTTTGTGTTTTTGCCAAATAGTTCTGCATTTTGACTACATGCTAGAACCTTTTTACAAAGATCTTATGCTCATTTTACAAAAAAATTTTAGCTCTACAGCAAAGACACATTTATTTTGTAAGACTAAGTAAAAAAATCTTTTTGAAAGAGAAAAATCACGCTTTTTAAATGGAGGCTTTTAAGGGTACTGACATAAAGTATTTTGCAATTTTTGTCACCTGTTACAATTTTTTTCAAACTTTTTGTGCTCATCTTAGAGAGAATTTTCAGCTCAACAAAAGGACAAAACTTATCATCTGGTCCAATGTAAAACAAAACCTTTATGATGAATTTATGTGAAAAACTCATATTTTTTAATGATGACTTTTGAGAGTAACTTGAGTATATTACCTTGACGTTGCGTCCATCATTTTCATTTTGTTCAGTTTTTGAAATCTCTTTTGAATGAGCTATTGCTCAAAAAATATTGCACGTGTCGCTTTTGAGTTAGAGTCAAAATACTAAAAAGTTGTAAGAGATATATGTGTATTTGAAAAGTTGTTGGATTTCTTCGCAGAAAAACGTCATAACTATGCAGTAAAAAGACGCTGAACGCTAAAAGTTTGGAGAATGACTCGATTTACGTTCAAACTCCCGGTCATAACTCCGCTATTCTGGATCAAACTTAAAAATTCTTTTACCATTCGGTCTGCGAGATTCTATTCTATCCGACAATATAAGAAAATTTCAAGTGTAGTGGCAAATTATTGCATAGTAATCGATTAAAAATAATATGTCATATTTTCGTTCTATTTAGGCAGATTGATTCTATTTTGTATGCATAAGTTGTTATATCTTTGCATACAAAATTCCGTATAGCAGATATACAAATATATGCTAAAAGAGAAAAGCCTATTTTCGTGTCTTGTGGACGGACACATGGCCATTTTTCTTACTTCCACTCACTGAAAAAATGAAGACAATAGAGAACGAAAGAAAGAAAAGAAAGAAAAACTATATATATATATATATTTGCATTTGTGGAGATAGTGTTGTCGACATAGTGCACATAGATAAAAGAAAACACGTTGCCATTTTAAAAGGGCTTCGCTAGTGGCAATAGGATGGATTAGAAAAGAGTAGTAATATTATGAAATATCCACAGCCTACATAAAAACACTTAAAAATGTCATCGTTAGCAAATGGTACAAACCATCATTACATTGATATGCGATCTGATACTGTAACCAAACCAACGAGTGCAATGCGTCAAGCTATGTACGAAGCTGAAGTCGGCGATGATGTTTATGGTGATGATCCAACTGTTATAAAATTACAATCAATGACTGCTAAATTATTAGATAAAGAAGCAGCATTATTTGTTCCATCTGGTACAATGGGAAATTTAATATCAATTTTAACTCATTGTAATACTTTTGGTTCTGAAATGATATTAGGTGATGAATCCCATATACATTTTGCTGAACAAGGTGGCTCTGCAACATTAGGTGGAATACATTCAAGAACAGTTCAAACTCAACCTGATGGAACATTACGATTGTCCGATTTAGAAAATTTAATCAGACCATTTTCTGCTAATGATGATCATTTTCCAATAACAAAATTAATTTGTTTAGAAAATACTCATAATCGAATGGGAGGTAAAGTTTTATCGGTTGAATATATAAATTCCGTTGGAGAATTATGTAAAAAATATGGATTAAAATTACATATGGATGGAGCTAGATTAATGAATGCAGCAGTTAAATTAAATATTGAACCATCAAAATTAGTTCAAGCTTGTGATTCAGTTTCCTTTTGTTTATCAAAGGCATTAGCGGCGCCCGTTGGTTCATTAGTTGTTGGTAGAATTGATTTTATCAAACAAGCCAAAAGATTAAGAAAAGCTTTAGGCGGTGGTTTAAGACAGTCCGGTATATTAGCTGCAGCGGGTATCTTATCAATAACTGAAATGCCAAAATTGTTAAAAACTGATCATGATAATGCTAAACTATTAGCTATAGGATTAGCAAAAATTGATGGAATTAATATAAATGCTGACGAAGTTCAAACAAATATTATTTTTATCAGTTTAGATTCCAACAAAGTATCAATTGATGCACCAACCTTGGCTAATAAATTAAAAGTCAACCATAATATTTTGATTGCCGCAACTAATATTATGAAAATAAGATGTGTCACTCATTATATGATTACTAAAGATGATATTCAACTCGTTTTGAAACAAGTTGAATATGAATTGGATCAACATAGAAAATAAATTTCACACTGTCCGCTTTTATTGTATGGATTATCCCCTTTAATTGTAAATAGGTCTAGTTTAGTCGCTCATCTATCATGTCGTTCTCTAGCACTATTATTGTTGTTTATTATCGTTCTATTATTTTTTATCAGTTTATTATAAAATATTTGCAGTATCTGTCATGAGAAGACAGAATAAAGTTCTGTTTATTTTTAGTGATGTGCATACATTTTAGTGATATTATAATTTGATAAATACAAAAGAAATGTATACACCTTGTTAACATCTTGTTAATACCAACGTTTGCGGATCAAATTGAACTTTGTTTCTAAAAATCGAAATTCCTACGTATTGTCCATCCAAATGAACAGTAGTTTTGGTTGTTTTTTGAATAATTTTTGATAGAAAAATGATAGAAGTCTGCGATTTTCAATTTTGGAAACTAGACACTTGATACTACATTTCCATAAGCAAAATGGATATTTGAAAAGTTTTTCGAAGTCGGTTTTTAGAAGAACTTTTGGATTCCTGAAAACTGACATAGAAACAGGTTACTTTCTTTGGATAGATATATAGTTTGAAGTGTTCTCAACAAAACTACATCTAAGCGACATCTAGGAAATCCGTGGCTAGGGAGCTATGGACATTTTTCCCGAAACTTTTACACTCATTTGCTGTTAGGTTGTGAAAAAATGGCTGAAAACATAGATTATCGACTATGCTGAATCTCGTGGCAATGTTAGCTTTCCGAAGAAAATACAAGAATCCAGTGAAAATCTATACTAGGTGAAATAATCCATTTTTGATTATTTTTATCAAAATTAAAAAATTCATACTCATTCAAAATTCATCGAATCTACTTCAGAACGCCAGAAAATACTCCGCTTTATCCGCTCATTTTGATCCTGTACGTAAAGTCATTAAAAAATACTCTCTTAGTTGCGAAGATTTACAACATTTATTGAGCTTTACGATTTCTCACAGTCACAAACCTAACAGTAGATGAGTGTAAAGGCTTCGGGAAAAATGTCATAGCTCCCGAGCCACGGATTTTCTAGATGACGCTTAGATGCAGTTTTGGAGTTCAAACTATATATCTATCCAAAGAAAGTGACCTGTTTCTATGTCAGTTGTCAGGAATCCAAACGGAATTTTCAAAGTTCTTCTAAAAACCGATTTCGAAAAACTTTTCAAATATCCATTTTGCTTATGGAAATGTAGTATCAAGTGTCTAGAAACTAGCATATCCGGTCCAGTGTAACACGGACACACTTTTATAGCCTAACTTCACAGTTGCTGTTTCATTCTGAAATGAATCCCTAGAAACAATGCACTACTATCCGTTTCAAAACAGAAGGTACACTACAGTTTTTTTGAATAGGTTTTGATAGTTTCCAAAACTGAAAACCACAGACTTCTATCATTTTTCTATCTAAAGTTATTCAAAAAACAACCGAGACCACTGTTCATTTGGATGAACAATACGTAGGAATATCAAGATGTACTCTGTTTTATCGTCACTACATCATGCAGTTCAAGAAAAGACTTGAAGCGTAACAAAAAATACTGTGGTTTTTCTGACAAAGTTTTCCACAAATCATCCGGAGTAAAAGAATATTTTTTACTAATCTTACAAGGAAACCTATCCAAGTGATACCTTCCGATTTCGTACGTTCATACGTCGATCGATAGACGGTATCGAGTCAGTGAAAAGCCTAAAAGGATTTCTCTCCATGACTCTTGAGAACTCGGTTTTCTTACAAAGTTATAGAATTTAAAATAAAAGTCCTAAATGTTCATTGTCAGCTCAAAGCGACAGAAATACGAATAAATAAATTTTTTCTTGTAAATTCTATAACTTTGGAAAGAAAGATTGTGTAGAGCTGAGAGACATCTCATTTTAATCAGAAATGTGCGGACTACAATCATACCTCATTAAGAGCGCTTTTAATTATCTTTTAGAGTTTCTGTAAAACTGGTTTTCCGGAAAACCGGGTTCTCAGGAGTTATGGAGAAGAATCCATTTAGACTTTTTACTGGCTTGATGCTTCCTATCGAGCGACGTATGAACGAACGAAATCGGACGGTATCACTTGGATAGGTTCTCTCGTTAGCTAAAGAATAAGATTGAGCGGATAAAGTAGAGTACATCTTGATATTTTGACATAGTCTACTCTCTAAAAAGAAGGCGTGTGTACGACTCCCAAAAGGGTATAAAGAAGTGCGACTATTTCTAAACTCTTTTAGGTTTCATAGAAGAAAAGGTGGCGTACGAAACCGTTTGATCTATATTCGTTTAGGTTTTATATGCAAACCTTTTTTTAGAGAGTAGATCGATTTTGGGTTAGTTATGAATGTTCTAATTTTCAGTGAAAATACGTAAAAATGAGACATTTCACCTAATATAGGTTTTCATTAGGTCCTTGACTTTTGTTCGAAAAATAAACGTTACCACGCGATTCAGCGTGATCTTGATATTTTAACCTCGACCTGTTTGAACAAAACAAATACAGAAAAACTTAAGCATTGGAGAATTTATTCAGTTCAAACAAGTCGAGTTTAAAATATGAAATTCATTTTTTTCTTTAAAAGCAGTAAAGTCGCGTGACTTACAGAGAAATTGTGACAATGAATTTGTCTTTTCTCTGGTTAAGTATCAGAACGACGAATAGCAAGGGGATGGGTAACCACCACTGAAGGTCGAATAATTGAATTATTTCATTGATATCCGACATATATATTCTCAACTATGTCGAGAGAAAAACCAAAGAAAAGCAGTCTCGTGGACTGCAAGCAAAGCAAGAACCAGTTCAAGTTTCCAAGACTCGAGCTTTTCTGTAACGAAAAAATAGTTGTAAAACAAAATTTATTTAGTTCAGCGTGGTCGATGACGTATGTTCTCATTTATTTTCTGGATTACCACACGATCCTGGAGCTTGCAGAAAATCGAACAGAGCGGTTAAACCACAAAAAGGTAAAAGGTCTCTTAGTTCCCATTTTGAAGAGAACATTTTGAGCTATCGATCTGTTTAAAGAAAACCAATATATTGCTATGTTGAAGTTTCCGATTATGAAACGGTTTTCTAGAGGTCCCTTAGGACACCGGTTTTCAAAAAAGAATTTTTTTTCATTTGGCTGTAGATAGACTAAGCTAGATAAATGTACCTTTAATGATGCAAGTGCCGATTAGTTTGAATTATATTTATTCTCTTGACTGGCACGCAAGGGTCTTATGGTCTATAACGTGTGTCACACTTCTAGACTATAGCACATTCTTTACGACGGCAGATTTCGGGCGATGTCATTTTTTGTATGACTTTTCCTTCTCGTACAGTTTTGCTCTGTTATTTGCCATATTTTTCTACTAGAATATGCAGGACATGCTTTTTAGTGTCTCTTGGCGCATATATTAAATTGTTTCTTGTTTCTGATTTCTTGATTAACTCCATTTACTTAATATTCAAGACTATTTTATTCTGAATCTGTTAGTCCTTTAATCCGTGTTCATGGGCGTTAATATTGCTAGTATCGAACAGCAGTTATCCGGAATTCATTTCAACAATTTTATGGAGTTACGTCTCGTTCTTACAAAGGGGTAATTGCACAATGATACTCTCTATAAATAAGGTATCAAACAATTAGCTGTCTCGTGCTTGCTATATGCAGAGCGTATAGAGTTTCTAATAATGTATGATGTTATTATGCGACCAACTGTTAAAAAAATGGACAGTCAAGAAACTAGTACGTCTGTATGGCAAACGTCATGTGTGTTTATTACATCATAAAATGAGATATTGATGGCTTTTGGTTATTAGTGCGTGTTGGTTAATCGAAATATTCCTTTTCAAGCTCATGGGATGTTGATTTTAGGATCTGAGCATACAATGTCAGATTTTTCAGGCTAATGACTAAGATTCGAAAAAAATTATGTTTCTTTTTCACCCAGTCAGACTCGAAATAGAAGCCTAGTCGAGCAAAATTTGATATTAAAAGACAAAATTTTGATATTAAGACAGAAAATTATATATTCTTGCATCCACTTCAATACTCATACAAAATAAAGTTTGAGATGAAACTTATTTTTTCTTAAATATCGCATTTTTCATCACGAATAGTCTAATATGTGTGGTGCTGTAAGGAGCGTTAAAAATAATCTTTTTATGCATTCCTGTTCTTGTATTTTCGAGCAAACAGAACAGGAAAAATAAATAATGATCATTGCTTTGGCTCCATAAAACTGATCGTAAGCCTTTTATAACCCATTTCACAGAAATAATGAAATGTCAAAGATTCATGATCACGAAGGTTTAAAATGAGCAAGTTTAATACAAAAAAAATATCATAGCTCATCTCGCTTATTTGGAAACAGAAAGTGACTTACAGAAAAGTGACAAAATAAAAAGTCTTTACAACAAAAGATCATAAGTCTAACCTTAAAAAGAGAAAATACTATCTTACAAAATCGTGTCTGTCAGCAAGTTTAATCTTCAATTTTACGACCGATGTCTTTGAATTTTGCTATCGATCTTTTCCCTGAAGTCTTATGACTACTCTGTCGTTAGGTTTAGGACCTTTGGAATGCGTGGAAACATAGGTTATCGACTATACTGAGTCTTGTGACAATATTTGTTCTGAGAAAATTTTTTAGAGCCTGCCGAAACTTAAGTGTTACGAAAACTAGGCTTTTCCGGCTGTTTTCAGCTGCTATTAAAAAATTCATAACTCACTCAAAATCAGAGTGAGTAGAGATCTTCAGGATATCGTTACTTTTATCAACTAGACATTATTAAGGTAGCGACAAATTTGAGAAATCAATATTTATTCAAAGGTTTTTCAGAAGTCTTTCCAGAAAACCGCAGAGTTCTCTAGATTCTCTGTGTATAGTTTTCATATAATCAGAATACAACGTAGTTCAGATACTGTACATCCTGAAAATTTCAACTCGCTCTGATGTATTTTGAGTTTCTTTCTTCTCATTCTATGAGATGCATCAGTCGGAAAAATTAAAGAATCCCAAC